CAGCTACAATCTGTCCGTTTTACTTTTTTTTTTGTTAGTGAGAAAAAGGATGGGGTCTCGGCATAAAATCTCAGCCCTATATCATTTCCCTAGTATGCCCGCAACTCCAAAGACATGATTAACATCACCTGTGAATCATTATCTTCTTGAGGCATACACTTCACTTTTGCTAGAAAGGTCTTTATGGACATTTGCTTATTTTGAATATTTGTTTTTTCTTTTTGAAGTTTCATATGCATTAGTAGGGCTGAGCATGGTTCGGTCCAAACCGAAAAAACCGACCGAACCGATCCGAAAAAATCGGTTTTATGAGTAGGGCGGTTCGGGTCGGTTTGAAAACTTTTCAACCCGAACCGACCGAATATAGTGCAATACTATCCATTCTGATCTCAAACCCTACCCGACTCGTCCCCAAAGAGTCAAAGACTCAAGCCCTAAACTCATTTTCTGAATCATTATAGGTTTAAAACAATATCATTATATCAATGTTTAATGCTTCATAATCTCCTATTTTGTTGATATCTTTTTTCCTTTAACACAGTTTGTTGTTTGATAAGAAGTTTAATGAAGTTAGAACCGAACAAACCGAACCGAACAGCACCGAACCGACTTGCAACAGTTCGGTTCGGTTTTGAATTATAGGCGGTTCGGTTCGGTTGTTTAAATTTTAGTAAAAACCGAACCGAACCGACCGTTGCACACCCCTATGCATTAGGATGAGTTTTTTTAAGGAGAGGCAGTACAAGTTTAACATGAAGGGGCCATGAGCGAATGACTTCTGACTTATCAATGAATAACATGGTGCCCACGTCCCAGAGTATTCAGTACTCAAAAGCAACGATGGCCTTGCCTTTTGCTCTTTCCACTCAGGGTCATGTGAAGGAAGCTGCGTGTTGTTTTAAGCTATTCTATCCACTGTTTTCTTTTCTGCAGGTTTTTTTATTATTTTTTAAGCTTCTTGTTATTGTTATGTAGCATACAGCAAATGGCATTAGGACTCTCCGGTTGATGGGAGCTCTAGCACGGTACATGATCATCCCCAGTACTTTTGTTTCCAAATGGTGAGTGTAAATAATCTAGCGGCTACATTACATACTAAAGTTTCCGGCTACGCTACATACTAGAGTATCCGGCTTGTATCGCTTCTATAATGACTACTTTGTCACTGAGGAATGGCTTGCTTATCTTTTTGCAGATGCTTTTTGCAGATGCTAAACTAATTTAAACATTCATTACTCTGCTTTAATTCTAGTTTCTAATGCATTCATATGCCTCTCTGCTTGTACCTTAGATCCAATCAAACCATGATAAATTTGTTGAATATTATATACTTTTTTTTTCTCTCACTTGGGTTGCTGACTAACAGAGCCGCTCATGTTTTCTTTGAATTTTTCAAAAGTGGTGGGCCCCAACGAAGAAAAATTTGAACGTGGGTCCCACATGCATAGTAAAATAATATTATTTTATTAGTGCATAGTATTTTCACAAACGCTATAAATAGACCCCAAATCCTTAAGAAAAATTCATTTCAAAAACAACAATTAATATATACAGATATATATATGTTGTAGAATAGCTAGTGCTCGTAGGAACAATGCCTAGACCGAGAAGGTCTTATATATCGAGAAGATCTCTGTCTGATAGATCGAGGAGAACTTTGTCTTATAGATCGAGGAGATCTTTGCCTGATAGATCGAGAAGATCTTTGCCTTATCGAGGAGATCTTGACAGTACTTGGTCGGTGCACACCAGAGTACTAGACTGCTGATCCTAGAAGTAATTTGGCCTTGTGATCATTGCATCGGAGTAGGCCAAATAATGCTTTAGGCACAACGTTTTACAAACGCACAGCAGCTGAGTTGGAAAATTTTAAATTACTGCATTTTAGTTTTCTGTTCAGTTTGTGTTATTATATATCTGTATTATTCCAGATTTAACCACATGTGCCAACAATCTTAAAGCATTATTCTGATCTACCATAGATCCTGCAAGGACTCTTAGAGTGGACTGTCTTAAGTTAGAAAACTTTGACGGTTCCAACTTTAACGAATGGCGTCGGAAAGTGATATTCGGGATGCAACTCTTGAAAATCTATTATGTGGTCTCTGAGGAGAAGCCTGACTCTGAAGAAGATTCTGAATCTGAAGCCTCTTAGACTAAAGATGATCACTTCTGCAGGAGTTATCTTCTTAACTGCATAGCCGATCATTTGGTAGATGCTTACACCAACATGTCTTCTGCAAAGGAAATCTGGAATGCTCAGGAGGACTAGTACAAGGATAATGAGAAGCTGTCCAAATCTCACCTCATTGACAAGTTTGTGGACTTGAAGTTTGAAGATGACACTGAGGTTTTGCCTCAAGTAAAAGAGCTTGAAAAGCTTGTTATGAAGCTGAAAGATGAAAAGATCAGTCTTTGTCAAACCTTCATCTCTGGTGCAATTGTCAACAAGCTTCCTCCATCTTGGATTTCATTCTCTACTGATATTCGAAGAAGGAAAAGACATGTGACTCTGTCTGATTTGAAGAGGTTCATTCGGATCGAGGATGAGACTCGGACTCGCATGAAGACTGAGCTCCTTGCTAAGCAGAAGGCGACTGCTAATATGGTGGCTGCTAACTCTGAAAAGGGTAATAATTCATCTTTCAAGAAGAGGAAGTCTTTTAACAGAAAGAAGAATCATAATCTGAAGAACCTGAACATTCAGAAGGAGTTTAGTTTAAGAAGAGTGGCAAATGCTTCAATTATGGGAAACAATGATATTTTGCCAATAACTGCAAAGCACTATAGGCGTCAAAAATTGCCCACAGAATCCCGCATGTGGCTCAAGACAGAGAAAAGATGATGAACATCATTATCCAAATCAAGGAGAATTATCTGATGTCATAGAGAAGCTAACAAATGCATGAAGTGAGTTGATAAAGCATACAGATCAACGGGATGGTACAATAACAAAGAAGCGACTCGACCTGGGGTTATGTTTCACCCACAAAGGAGTAAGCACCACTCGTATCTTGCTCATCCCATAGATGTCTCACCCATGGGAGGTTGTAGAGATCTTCGTGAGCTTTCTAACGTGCCTTGGATCACTTCATTCCGAGGTCGGGCGAGGGAGTTAGAGCCAAAATACCCGAGACAGTACAGACTGTTTTTCACCTGCGAGACACCAATTATGTATCGCATATTTTGGCCATGATACGATTCGAATCTGAAGAATCTCAAAAGATAAAAGTTATAAGTCTCTTTGTCAGCTTTCTAACGCATTTTGAATCACGTCATTCTGGGATCGGATGAGAAAACTACGTCCCGAGACAGTCTCGGGCCCGAAAACACTGTCCGGAACCCAAGATTCTATCCGTAGCCTCCCAAACTGATTTGAGGTTATCATTGAATGTGGTTAAGTGATTACAATTGAGGATAAGAGCAAATCGTTCATTCTTATACAAAAACAAGGCTTCTGAAGCCTATAAATACAGCCTTAGGGCCTTCATTTGTACAGATCTGAAGGGAGCTACGAATTTTAGAAGAGATCTGGAATTCTCGAGCTTTGGCGAAGCCCTGTCGGTTAGGAGACTGAAGGAGCACAAATTTTTAGAGAGGAGAAGGAGATCTCGGCGACTCATTCAGCATAAATAGGAATAGCTCGAGAGATCTGCATCCGGTTCTTCCGCTTCCCTCGAAATTGTACCTAGCTGCGATTCTCGAGAAGAGTGGGTATCTCGCTTTGCCGAGATATTCGCTTAAGTTTCTTGTCTCCTTTGCGAGGCAACAAAACTGTTCTTTTGATCTGATCGCTTGGTAGTCCATGGATTAACCCCGGCACAGGCAAAGATCCCGCGTAAGCAGAAAATCGATAAACGATCTCTGCGTGTGTTCTCAGGAAATTTTTATGCTTCTTTTCATTGTAAGGAAAGTTTTATAAACAGACTTAAATTTTCTTTTATTTTGAAGCGTTGTAACGCTTGAAGTTGTAATGGATTCGAAAGCAATAAAACTGATTTTCGACCCGAACACGCTGGCGATCACAGTGGGAGCCAACAGCCTTACTGCCAAGGCTGTCGTGCTGTAACCGACGATTAATATCCCCATGGATGAAGAGGTCGAATACGAGTTCGACCAGTAGAAATTTAAGGAGTACGTCTCCTCCTCCTCCTCCTCCTCCAGATCGTCTTCTCCTTACAAGCGCAGGCCGCTTCCCTCAAGAAGGTTCGTTGGTCTTTAGATCTAAAGATTCGGGGTAACGATCTTCACCTAGTTGCTACTGAAGGATTCTCCCCGATGCTTAAGAAGGCCAGATCCGACGTTCGTGATAACTCCTCAAAGGTCAAGGAGTTGCCCGTCGAAGACGCACTGTTGTTGACGAAAAGGGCTCGTCAAAGGCGCCGTCAACATCTTGCTCGTCAATTCACCAAGGCTTTGGATCAGGTGGACGGACTCTGTTACAATCTGATCTGGAGTTCAGAAAGCGCCAAGTGGCTAAGCCGCCTCCACAACAAGCATCGGGGTCCTCCTCCTAACCGTTAACTGACAAATGGGTTCGTATCAAACGAACCCGTTCTACTCTCGAGGAGCGTATCCAGAAGCACCGCACACTTCTTACGCACGTCTGGATCCTTGTGCATAAAGCACAAGAATTACAAAAAGAAGAGGTGTTCAATAGGCCACCAAGATCTAAGCAGGTTTGGGTGTCGAAGGCCAAGTTAGCGCTTCTACCCGACAAGAGACACCGGTCGTGTCTCTCGCTCGATTCCAGATCCAAAGTTGGTTCCCAGCTTTCGTCAAGTTCAGATCTTGCTCCTTCTAATCCCGAACCTCCGGTGAAGCCCTGCGGCAGTGTGGACTTATCCAGAGGTAGGAAAGCAATGACGGATCCCCTTGTTCCTTTGCACAAGGATCGAGGCAAAGCTCCCGTTAGAGAACGCTTGGGTCCGGTGAATGAACCCCGAGCAACTCATCGAGCTGGGGGTCGCATACACCAT